ATAACAAGGTACAAGAGTGTGTGTGTGTGTGTGTGTGTGCGTGTGTGTGTGTGTGTGTGGACCAGGATGCTAATCATGCCCTTATGGCACAATAATGCTGTTCCTGCTATTTGCTCATACACACAAATGGAAACAAATGTGGTTCGTACACACAAAAACAAAACCAGAAACCAGATAATGACTGCGCAGGGCTCAGATGGAAGGAGAGATAATGCTCTCTAAATACTCACGTCATATGGTCATTTGTGTAGTAAAAACAGACCGCTCTCATTGAAGAGACAGCTGTGAATTTGCAGTGTTTTGATGGCTACCGAGATTTACAATAGGTGAATGTAAATTATAGAAAATTTAAATACTGAACTGGTAAGTTTGGCTTATAAAACATTTGTTTTTTTCTTTCAGCAAACACCCAAAAATCCAAAACAATATTATTATATTGATGCTTAATTAATGCATTTCATACGCTCTCAGAAAAAAAGTACAAAGCTGTACCTACGGTGCCCCAAGGTAAAAAGCTACATCTTTTCACTTTATTTGCCCCTAAATCGTACATATCAGTACTATAAAGTAACTGTATGTAAGTTTTTTACCTTGAAATATTAGTTTCAGAATAATTTTGTTGGTACACTGAGTTCTGTTCTGGGGTAAGTGGGCGAATTTCCGCATAATATGGAGGATTGCTTTAAGGTAGCAACAAACGCACATGTACAGCAATCCACTGTAATTACTACAGATATTTACGACAGTGAGTTCCACTGACTTAACTGTAGGGGGCTCCAAAGTCGCATAAATACATGTAACTGCATACAGTTGTTTTAAAAGCACATTAACGTTAACAACTATTAAAGAGATGTTTTGGCAAAGTTATATTAAAGTTTTGCAGAGCTGTCATAAAAAGCGTGCTACATGACATGTCGAAACTGGAAGTCCAAAAAATACATATTAGTACCTAAAGTGTACTTTTGAAATGGTATTGCCCAGTTGAGGTTTTAGGCATTTTTCTGAGATTGTATATCTATCATTTGATATAGTTTTATGCACCAGAAATGTCTATGAAGAAATTATTAATCACAAAATGACAATGGTTGTCTCTCTTCTGATTCCCTGTGTAGTAGATGGCAACATGGGTTGAACACTTCTTATTGTGGTGCATTATGGGATTGGGTTTTGGGCACCACTACATACACATAAACAAGGTTACTGTGACTTTATCTCATAGTTAGCCTTTTTTTTCCTCGCAGTTCTGATTTTTTTCTCAGATCTTTCTTTCTTTCTTCCTCCATTTATACGTATGATTCTTTCTTTCTCTATTTCTTACACAGCTTATGACTTCATTTAAATTTCCTTGGAAAGCACTGTACCAGCACCAATAGTGCCTGGGTAAACTGGCCTAGAGTTGTTTAGTCAGTGCATTGAAAACCAACTCGGTTAATTCGGCCTCTAGTGTTACCTGATGAATAAATTTTCAGATGCAGAATACAAATATGGCTTATTCTTTTGTGTATTTGTCTGCCATTTCAAAAGGTGCCCACTTCAATAACAATGATCAAACAGGCACTGCAGCACCTGAAGCGCCAGAGCAGAGTGTAATTACATCAAGCCCTGTGCTGAGCCATAATGAGCAGCCTGCTGTCCTGCAGCAAGATCCTGCCATGTAACAGAGAACACAGAACAGAGAACAGAGAGAGAAAGAGATAAATTGGTCAAGAAAAACAGCCTGTTCTCTGCTCTACCAGACGCTCATTTGCTGCTCTGTAACTGCAGGCAAAGGCAAAACATGTCAAGTCAGTGTAGACGAGGGGTGCTGAGAAGTCACACATTTCTTTTGGGAATGTAAAACAGCTATGCAGATGGCTATTTAATTGTTTTTGTAGGTTGTTTTAGCAAATGTGAGCACATAATGGGACTTGAGTAACTTTGTGAAATGTTTACCTATTATATTCAAAGCTGGATTGTCAAAATAACTGTGATTGTGATGGTAATGGCAACCTCCATAATGACCTTCACTCAAAGTCATCAGCAATATCTAAATTTTACTAGCATTTTCCTTTGTGCTGAATTTAATTGAACAGAAGGCACAGGGTGCAAAAAGGCTGAAAGCCCCTTGGGGTAAAAAGGCCGTTTTTAAAATATTTCCTCTCCAAAACACCAAATAAAAACAAGCACCACCACAACATTTTCCTAAACAACAGTTTGTTGCTATGCTCTGCAAAACATGACTTATCCATGTGGTCACTAAATTTTCCTTTTTAAATTAAATAATAATAATAATAATAATGTACCTTAAAATTGATGCAATTTCTTTTATTTTAAACATTTATATATACAGAATTATTGTGTGTGTGTGTGTGTGTGTGTGTGTGTGTGTGTGTGTGTGTTACCTTGAATTCTCATTTAAGAGCATTAACTGTAATTCCTATAGAACATTCTAACTCTGACAAGTTGACACTTATTTTGTACTTTTGATTTTTGTGATTTCACCCCGTCCTGCTGCTTTCAAACTGTGTTCCTTTTTTATTATGTGAAAAGTGCTGTTTATAACATTTATATTTTTGGCACACAGTATAGGGCATACAATTATACATTTAAAATATTTGTTCTTTGATAAATTAGCCCTGTAGCATATTTATTTATTTATATATTTATTTATTTAGGTAAATATGTATAAGTAGTATATTATTATTGTTATGAATTGAGTCTTATGGTTTTCATTTTTGTTCAAAATAATAAAATCATTGGTTTTTCAATAATCAATCAAATATTTTGAAGTGGGACACTAATTCAACACAAGATCCAATCTGCTTAAAAATGCCACTAGAAGTACTAAATAGTTGACAGGGAGGAAGCGAATTGTTTTCCATAAGTGAGAAGAAACAGATTTGTTTTGAAGCATGTGCAAAGTGGGCTCAGTGACTGTGACGAACACAACCGAGAGTCATTTCCGAAACATGCCTTCAGCATTGTAGCTGTTGAATGCACATTGGTTGGTTACTAAAAGCAGGGAAATGTTTTTTGTTCCAATAAAGAATGTTCAAAATGAGCTGTACATGGTTTATCATTTGCTGAAGTTGTTATTTCCCATATTTCTTTGATTATTTTATTCAGAAGTCTTGTCCTATGTTAATTTTGTCTCTATAAGCTACTATTTTATACCATTTATGCCACTCTTTCCCTGGGGGTCCGGATTTTTTTAATATCCTGAATGTGGGGGTTAAAGCCCCCTTCATTGCCTTTATTTTGAAATGATTTTCAGTAAAGCTTCTTTGATCATTTCTTTTCACAGTTGCTTCATCAATCATGTTTTCGATCATCATACACTTTGAAAAACTTTTCCTTTGTACCCTACAGCTCTGTGTGAGATATACAGTAATACTTTATATTAATAATTGTCACTCGTTACTCCATTTGTGTTTATGTTTTCATTTGAATGTAATACGCTTTTGAAGTGTCACATCATTTGTTTACATCCCTAGATTTTCTCTGTTTTCTACTTCAAAAGGCACAAAAGACATCAGAACTGAATGTTCCCATCCTGTATTCATCTTGCAATGAACCCACTCCAGCTCAGCCTCTTTGCGCACTTTTTACAAAATCTCTCTGCATTGTTTTAAACATGATGAGAGATGAGATGAGACTGGATAATATAGTCCATATATTTAAAAAGAGTATTGACTGTTCTCTCGCAATATTTCAAACATCTTAAAAACACTCCTAATTAAAACCATGTGCTTGCATGTGTGCTAGGTCACATTGACTTTGCCAAGGTAATCGTTTCCTCTGCTGTTTAGAGTTGTAAATCTCTAAATCAGTGTACCTTAGGAAGGAGAAATATTGAACAAATTGTTTCTGGTATCTACGAATAGGATACTTGATGAATGTGTCAATATAAAGAGTTAATAAGTAATCTTACTGAAATGGACAGTTAGAGTCTTGCTACATGATTTCTAACGGTCTCTGTAATTTTAGGAATATCTGAGAAATACCCATGAGAGAACGTAATAGTTTTTGAGATATCTGAACTTCCTATACTCTTTCACTCAATGTCCTAAACATCCACATACAACGTACTGCAATCCTCCATTACGTCACACTCACGCTACATGGGTGCTCATTATCGTGTTTTGAGAGATAATTGTTATTGACATGAAGCTTTAAAAAAAAACTTTCAAGATTCTGCATTCAGTAAGGAGATATAGAGAGTAACCAAATGCATTTCTTAATTTAAATACTAAAAAAAAGTACTTAACGGTTTTAAGAAACTATTTTATTTATTTACTTACTTTACAATTAAATATTTTCTGAAGAAATATGAATGGTTGACTACCCAGTTTTGTTTTTAGGTTTTGAATAGTATCATAAATTACTCTTTTTGTTCTCTCTCTCTCTCTCTCTCTCTCTCTCTCTCTCTCTATATATATATATATATATATATATACAATGGGTATAAAAAACCTTTAGAATGAAATATATCTTCATATATATATATATATATACAGTGGGTACGGAAAGTATTCAGACCCCCTTAAATTTTTCACTCTTTGTTATATTGCAGCCATTTGCTAAAATCATTTAA